GCTTTAATTGATATGGGGCATGGTCTGGTATCAAGATTTATGACCCTCCCCCAAGTGATTCAGGTATACAGTCAAATTTAAAAGTCCTTGTTTTAGGGTAGGTGTTAGCAAATATGACCCAACAGATATGGCCAAGTCCAACACCTATTTTGTAAATAAAGGAGTGCCTACTGGTACCTTCTTGTTACCATTGTAGTTAAGTAGTCATGACAGAGACCTCATTGGCTGCAAAGCCTAAAATATTTAGAGGTTTTGGTTTTCAGTCTCTGCTCTGAAACAGTGGCCCTCCAACTTGAACATGAATCAGAATCACCTTGTAGGCTTGGGAAAACACCCTTCTGGCCCCGCCTTTGGAGTTTCTGATTCAGTATTTCTGGGAGACAGAGGGGCCTGAGAATTTGCTTTTCTAACAAATTTCCAAGTGGAGCTGATCCTGCTGGTCTGAGGTCTCACTTTGAGAATCACTAGCTGGCTCAGTAGTAAAGAATCTGCCTGCCAATGCAGGAGATGCAGGAGACGTGGGTTCAATCCCCAGATTGGGATGATCCCCCGGAAAAAAGAAAGGCCAACCAACCCAAGAATCCTGGCCGGAAAAATCCAAAGAAAAAAGAAGCCGGGGGGCAAAAAAAGCCATGGGATTGAAAAGAGCCAGACATGACTGGGCAACTAACACTTTCACTTTTAACCCTGAATTAGACAAATGCAAATTAAAATAAAAAATGAGGTAACATTACATACCCAGCACATTGGTAAATATATATTTTTAAAAAACTGACAATTCAACTTGTTGAAAATGATATGAAGCAATAAAGGCTCTAATAAATTACTGGTTGTTGTCAATTGATAGAACCACTGGCAGGTTGGCATCATCTCATATTAAAAATATGTGGTCTGATTTGCAGTCAGTTCTACTCCTAATTATATGTTCTAGAAAAACGTGTGTCCATGTGAATCAGAGCACATATTGAGAATATTTATGTAGCACTCCCACCATGCAAATTGTATACTCGCCTCCCATTCATATGCTGAAGGTCTGACCTTCAGTGTGACTATATTTGGAGGTAAGAACTTTAGGGAGGTAATTAAGATTATATGAGGTCACAAATGTGGGTCTTAACCCCATAAGGCTGGTGCCCTTAAAAGAAGAGGAGGCGACACTAGAGCCCTCTCTTTCTAGGCTAAGAGGAAAGGCTGTGTGTTAAATTAGTCAAAGTTCTCCAGAGAAACAGGCCATATACATATAGATGACTATTTTTAGATAGGCAAGAAAATTGATTACCATAAAAGACATGATAGTGATTTATATACAGAGTGACAGAGAAGGTATTGTGATAAAGAAGGAAGACACAGGGGTCTTCTGAGTTGCTGGCAATATCCTATTTATTGACTTTGGAAGTACTTACACAAGAGTTCATTTTATAATCATTTATTATACTGACATTTATGATTTATGCACATTTCTGTATGAGTTTTATATTTCACATTTAAAATATATTTACAGGAAGGCTGGGAACATGGCACCCTGAATGTGTCCCAGATGTTCACTAATCTCAGTTGCTATCTAACCATCCATCTTCCTCCCCCAAGTCCATCTAGCAGGCAGTCTGTCGGGCAGGAGTGTGGCTTGGGCTCTGTAGATCCAGATAGAGAATGCTGGGGCCAGGCATTTTCTTCTGGCCTTCTGGGCAGAGCCTGGAACTATGGAGAATTCTGGAGGAAAACTGAGCACATCTATGATCCTGGAGAGAACACAGCCATCATAAATCTATGGGACTCCAAGAGGACTAGTAGCGCCCTCCCCCAGAGTATTCCAGGGAGAATTTCCCTTTCTTGTTCCCTGGGAGCCTCATCTAGGAACTGATGCCTGCTGGCTGTTACTGGACTAGCCCCCCAGGCGGAGACATCTCTGTGATTCACCAGTCACAGAAATGAGCACCACATGAGCCCCAAGACTTCTGACTAGGCAAAGAAAACTATAATTTCTGTAAAGAGTCCTAACATCCATAGACAGGAGGAACACTCAGGATACCCAGAAAATGTGGTCCTTAGCTAAAGAGAGCTATGAAATAGAAGGCAGCTACTAAAATAATACAACAAAAATAATACAACTGCTTAGGAAATTCAATTTCAGCCTCAAAAGAAACTGTAGATCTAGAAATCATGACTTTTTGAACTAAAAATATAATTTATAAATTGAATGAAAGGATCTTTACAATGGTTGAAATACAAAGGACAATAAAATTTTTAAAAATAAGGTGGAGGCAAATAATTAATTGATCAACAATTAATAGAAAAATATGTACCACAAACTTTGCATTTTAGAATTTAGCAAAAATTTTAGCTCTGAACTTTCTTTCTCTTTTTGGCACTAATTTTCCCAGATATTTTCTTTTTCTACTGTCGATGTAGTTTTGTTAATTGCCTTAAATAAGTTTTATAACAAGATATAGTGCATATTTTGAAAAGTCTTTGATAATAAGATGTAGGATGTTTTTAAGAGCCTATACACAAAAATATTTTAGAGAAAACTATGACAAAACATACACACAAAAATAAAATGAAAAGACACTTGAGAGTAAAGGAATGGGCAAAGAGGTAACAGGCAGAGCAAACAATAAGAAAAACAGTGACTATTACAATTAGATTATAAATTTAGGTAAAAAACCCTAGACAGAATAAGATATGCCCATCAAATGCCTTCATACATCCAAATACATAGCAACTTAATATAAAGCAAAACTGCATAAAAAGCAATTAAAACTTGATTAAAATATAAAGTGGTACACTTTAATCTTCCTATTTCAGAATTAGACAGTTGTGTTAGACCAAAAATGAGGACATACAAAAAAGAACTGAATAATATAATTTTATGATTTTTTAAGTATCCGACTCTTTGCAACCCCGTGGACTATAGCCTGCCAGGGTCCTCTGTCCATGGAGTTCTCCAGGCCAGAATACTGGAGTGGGTAGCCGTTCCCTTCTCCAGGGGATCTTCCCAACCAAAACCAGGTCTCCCCTATTGCAAGTGGATTCTTTACTCTCTGAGTCACCAGGAAAGCCCAAGAATACTGGAGTGGGCAGCCTATCTCTTCTCCAATGGATCTTCCCGACCCAGGAATCGAACTGGGGTCTCCTGCATTCAGGGGGATTCATTACCAGTTGAGCTCCCTGGGAAGCCCCACAATTTCTTTAGCCAAGTCTAATTAATTCTTATAAAGATTCTATGGATATGTATATATATATAGGCTTCCCTGGGAACTCAGCTGGTAAAGAATCCACCTGCGATGCAGTTCAATTCCTGGGTAGGGAAGATCCGCTGGAGAAGGGATATGTTACCCACTCCAGGATTCTGGCCTGGAGAATTCCACGGACTATATCGTCCATGGGGTCGCAAAGAGTCGAACAGGACTGAGTGCCTTTCGGAAAGAAGCCGTACAGGACATGCTCTGTGACTTAAATGTTACAGGCGTAGGAATGCTGCTGCTGCTCAGTCATTTCAGTTGTGTCCCACTCTTTGTGAGGCCTTGAACCACAGCCCACCAGGCTCCTCTGTCCCTGGGATTTTCCTGGCAAGAAAACTGGAGTGGCTTGCCATTTCCTCCTCCAGGGGATCTTCCTGACCCAGGGATCGAACCCATGTGTCCTGCATTGCAGGCAGATTCTTTACAAATGAGCTACCAGGGAAGCCCCAAGTAAGGAATCAGTAATTTTTTAAGTACAATGAAATAATAATTAACAAAATACCTTGGATTAAAAAAGAAATCAAATATGAAACTACAAATGGTCTGGAAGGGGATGAAGGTGAAAATACTACATCAGATTTAAGGACCATAATAAAGCTTGTAGTTAGAGGAAAATGCATGGCTTCCAATGCCTTTATCATCAAAGAAGAAAGGCTAAATTGGGGAAAGGGTGAAAAAAAAACTGGATATTTACTAGAAATTTTTTAACATACTATTAGAAAAGGTTATCAGAAAATCTACCAAAAAACAGCAATTGAAATTAATAAAGACAAAGCTAAAATTAACTAAATGACAAAAACAAACAACACACATATCCAAAAGCTGATTCTGTGAAAGATCCAAGTGTTTTTTTAAGCAAGAAAGCCCAATTTGTTTAAAAAAAAGCAAATATATACAAGATTAGAAATGACATGCAAGACACAATTTTAGAATAAAAAGAAATCAAGAGAATACTCAGAAAGGCACTTGCAACCCTGGCAACAAATCAGAGGAGAAGGATGATTTATTCCTAAAATGTTAAGTCCTTAGCCCAATACTTTACATATGAGTTGAATAATATCATCTATCATTATTATTGTTACTAGCATATCACATTCAAATATTTCTATCACTTCATTATAAGATAAAGGTCAAGCTTTCCTCTCTGAGAAAAATCTCCAGAAACTATCAAAGGATGATCCTCATCCTCATTATTAACAAACATTTGTGAAGCACACATTCTATCCAAGGCCTATGACCTTTCAGTGAAATATGAGAGATGACCGCTACCTGCCAAGAACTTAAAATCTTTAGGAGCTGATATGTACACACGAGTAGCTATTTTAGACTCTCAAGAAGAAGCGCCAAACAGGCAGCTGAGGCAATACCTGTTACGGGAGAACAGGGGAAGGATAGATCCCTTTTGGTAGGGTGATGGCAGAAAGACTTCACGAAGGTGGGGTTCAAGTTGAACCCTGAAGGGTGGGTGGGCTGGATAAAAATAGATTTTTAAGAGGAAAAGGGAGTGGAGGCTGGAGAGAAAATGAGAAAGTCAGTTTATAAATTGGCCAGTTTGGTCAGAAGAAGGGAGTATATTTCATAGGAAGCCAAGAGGTGAGGAAGATAAGGATATGTCAGAACAGATGATGAAGAGCTCCGAATTCAAATCTACAGAGTCTGGAATGTCTCCTGTTGGCAGTACATTAGTTCTGAGAGTCTTGAGCAGATCGTGACATAATAAACAGCAGTTTGGGGAAGGTTCTGTTGGCAGCAGTATGCTTGGTGGACTCCAAGGGGAGTAGCTGTGGCCACGACAGCCCACAGCACCCTGGCAAAATCTAGAAAGGCCATCATCCCCATTCTGCAGATGGAAAACCACAGAGTGATTCTGAAGAGAGCGAGAGGCTGCGTAGGGCAAGGTAAAGATGCTTGCGGCAAGACTAGGGGGCCATCTCTTTAACTACACGGCTGCACGTCGCCAGCTCTGCACTGTCCTACCTTTGATGTTAGAACGACCCTCATAATTTGGGGCAAAACTTCTCAGCTCCTCCAGAGATGGTAGCCTGGGAGAGAGAACTTCTTTGTTGTTGCCAGATACACATTAATTTATACATCATGAAGGGGGCAAATTTTCCAAAGGAGTTTAGCTCGGGGTTTCATCCTCCACAAAGCGTAAGCCCTCTCCTCCAACCCGACTTCTCCTCTGTGGTCTGTATCCTCTGTAGGAACACAGAGAGTTAACCTTTGCAATCGGATTTGCTCTGTGCAACACAAAGTGTCACCCAGGAAAGCAGGGTACAAGGCGTCTGTGAAATGTATGAAAAGAAGTCCAGGAATTCAGTTAATTAACCACATCAGTTTCTTAACGTGATCAATTTTAATTAAACTGAATTTTAATAGAGATCTGTGTAGTCTGTAGAGACCAATTGCTAATTCTACAAAGCATGTGCTGCTTTTCAGTTCAGATTTGCTCCCATCTAATTAATATGGATAGAGCATTAAGCCTTTTTGGACTCTGGTGGTTTTCATTTCATGACTATTAATGATTTTAATGAACTGGACTAATTCAGTAGTTTTCATCCCAGTGTTTCAGGGCTTTGTTCATCACAAATTTCAGGTTTATAATTGGTTTCCAGGTCTTAACAGTGGTCATTGATCAGCTTCAGCAGTTCCTTTTACAACTCGGAAAGCGCTGGAGACTCAGTTAACCCCTTGCTGCCCAGAGATGAGATGAACACTGCAGCACTTTAGAGCAGTAGCTTGGGAATTAACTACCAAGCTAACATAGCTACAGAGGCAGAGGAGGACTTAAAATTCATATGGCAATGTGAGCACGGGACAGAACAGGAAAGGTCACACCAGCAATACAGACACTGGAGATTAAAAAGAAAGAAAGACTGGTAATGAGCTATATTTTTCAGCTTTAATTTTCATTACTCCAAGTGAAAAAAATACATCATGAAATTAGCTTTCTCATTTTGGCAAACCAGACTTTCTAACCACCCATTCACCCCTGCCAACCCTTAGCAGGCATCTTTATCAACTCTCAAACAGCTAGGATTGAAGGATAAGAAAATGGAAAACTGTAAAGAGCTGATGAAAAACAGAAACAGGGATGCTGGGCTGAGGGGAGACATAGCTTGTGAAAACTAACACAGATAAAGAAGTGAACACGTTGATGAATATATACCTTGCCTTCTCTGGATTCAGCTTCGCTATTGGAGTGTTACTCATGGCCCTTGATTGCCCTGAAAACAAACAATAGGATTTCAGCTTCCCTCCCACTTAAAACAAAAATTAAACCTTTTAAAATATTCCATATCCAGGGTTGTTATTCAATATCTTCATTGATACTGCTTCTGAAAAGTGACAGGCAGACTAGACATAGAAAAGTGTGAGGTAGAAAAAGGCAAATTCTCTGATTCAGGCACCTGTGTCTTTAATTATCCAAGAAAGATCAATATAAACATTCAAACCATAGCCCCAGCTTTCAGAAATGTAGTTCAAATCACTGGAGATTATGGGCAAGCTTATTTTTGTGGGCCTACCTAGAAAATTTCCTCCAAGCCCCTTATCCACCATCTAAAGAACATACCAGTCTTTGCAGATGTGCAGGCTTGAAATTCTCAAATATTCCAGGGACTTGTTTATGAAGTCATTCTGCCACAGGTTGAGTTAATTTAGATTTCAAATCCAGTTGGAATCTCTTCCATAATTTTATTTTTGAAAAGATCTTTCTCATCCAGTAAGGTTCTTACCAAGATGGTGATTTTTACACATTATCTCTGATCCAAAGAACAAATGAAACTGATGTCATCACCGACATAGCCCTTAAAATGACCCAAGAGGAAAAATTTTATAAAATTTAGAAATTTGATTTAGTTTTTATTTTACTCACTCATGTTTCATCAGTGGTACCTGGTTTCTTTGATAACATTGACTGATAGATTATGTCTCAGGTCAGTTCAATTCATTTTCCTCATATAGGCTAATATGTTTAAACAAGCTGCCAGTCATAATAAAGTTGTCTCTGCATCTTTAATTCCTATTCATCTCTAAATCCTTTTCAGTCTTGCTTCTGTCTCACAGAGCTGCTGAAATACTCTGTCTTCTATAAACTGGTGATAATAATGGCTTTCTTGGAGGGTCATTGTGTAGATTAGTTCACTTAGCAAGGTGCCTCAATAAATTATGGCTGTTATTACTGCTCAAGTCACTAATGACCTTCTGATTGACAAATGGCTTAAGTCTTCATCTGCCGTGCTGTCTGAAGCATTTGACACCATCCACCATGCTGCTTGAAACTCTTCCAAGAAACCACTCGTTCACACATTTGTTCTTTCAGCAATTATATATGGAACATCTGTTATGCGTCAGGTAGTGTTCTAGGCTCTGGGGATCCCGTGGTGAGCAACGCAGAAAGTCCATGTCCTCTTGGAGTTCTTATGTTTCTCTATTGAGGAAAATAGACATATATGAATAAAAAGTAAGGCTTACAATTTATTGAGCCTTTAAATTGCACCAGACAATATTCTCAGCTTTTTGCCTATTTTAACTCATCTAGCTCATTTAACCCACTGGGCATGGGTATTATCATTATCCTCATTTTACAGATGAGGACACCAAGGCATGGAGAAGGTAAGTATCTCAGCCAAGGTCACAAACATTTATAAGTGATGGAGCTAGTGTTTTGACCAAGGAATACAGTTCCAGATTCCAGACTCTTAAACCCAATGCTCCTCTGAAGAATAGAAAACAGTGATATCACACAATGAAAGTGACTTTAGATGTGAGGGAAGGGAAGCCCTCCTTGAAGAGGTGATATTTGAGTAGAAACTCAAATACTGAGAAAGAATAGAAAAGTATCAGTATGTTGCCTTAGCAATCAAGTACTTGGGACTGAACTGTTTCCTCCCAAATTCATGGATTGAAGCCCTCATCCCTTAAATGACCATATTTGGAGCTAGGGCTTTTGGTGGTGCAGTGATAAATCATTTGCTTGCGAATGCAGGAGACCCACAAGAGGTGAGCTCAATCCCTATGTTGGGGAGATGCCTAGAGAAGGGAATGGCAACCCACTCCAGTATTCTTTCCTGGAAAATTCCATGGACAGAGGAGCTTGGAGGGCTACAGCCAATGGGATTTCACATGACTGAAAGTTGGACATGACTGAGCAGCTATGAACACACAAGTTTAAATGAGGACAGAAGAGTGGGGTCTGATAAGATGGGTACTCTATTGAGAAGAAGAAGAGAGAACTCTCTCTCTTTCTCTTCATACACAGGCACTCGGGAAAGGCCATGTGAGGACTCAGAGAGACAGTAACTGCCTGCCAGCCAAAATGAGAGCCCTCACTGGAAACTGAACCCTGCATGAACCAGAAGCTTGAACTTTCCAGGCTCCAGAACTGTAAGAAAGTAACTTTCTGTTGCTTAAGCCACCTAGCCTATGATATTTATTTTGGCAGCCAAAGAAGACTAAGACACCAAGTAAAATCTAGAAGCCTAGAAAGATAATGCTTCTGAAACATTCCATGCAAGAAGGCCAGAAATTCACTAGAATGTTCTGAGATGAACCTTGACAAGAAGTGTTGAAATTGGTTCAGGAGACTGAGGGAAAGGAAAACAAATACAGACAGCTTTTTCAAGAAGATTTGTTACAGAGAGAAGCAGAGAAATGAGTGGTAGATGGAGAGAGCCATCACATCAGAGAACTTTGAAGATGGGAGATATTATAGGATGCTTGTATGCAGATTGCATCCAAGTACTTCATTTCAGACTCTTCTGTTGACTATGATGGCTACTCCATTTCTTCTAAGGTATTCTTGCCCACAGTAGTGGATATAATGGTCATCTGAGTTAAATTCACCCATTCCAGTCCATTTTAGTTCACCGGTTCCTAAAATATTGATGTTCACTCTTGCCATCTCCTGTTTGACCTCTTCCAGTTTGCCTTCATTCATGGACCTAACATTCCAGGTTCCTATGCAATATTGTTCTTTACAGCATCGGACTTTAATCCATCACCAGTCACATCCACAGCTGGGTGTTGTTTTTGCTTTGAGTTTGTCTCTTCACTCTTTCTGGAGTTATTTCTCCACTGATCTCCTGTAGCATATTGGGCACCTACCAACCTGGGGATTTCATCTTTCAGTGTCCTATCATTTTACCTTTTCTTGCTGTTCATGGGGTTCTCAAGACAAGAATAATAACAAGGTTTGCCATTCCCTTCTCCAGTGGACCATGTTTTGTCAGAACTCTCCACCATGACCCGTCCATCTTGGGTGGCCCTACACGGCATGGCTCACAGTTTCATTGAGTTAGACAAGGCTGTGGTCCATGTGATCAGATTGGTTAGTTTTCTGTGATTGTGGTTTTCATTCTGTCTGCCCTCTGATGGAGAAGGATAAGAGGCTTATGGAAGCTTCCTGATGGGAGAAACTGACTGAGGGGAAAACTTGGTTTGTTCTGATGGTTGGGGCCAAGCTCAGTAAATCTTTAATCCAATTTACTGTTGATGGGTGGAGCTGTGTTCCCTCCCTGATATTTACCTGGGGCCAAACTATGGTGGAGGTAATGAAGATAATGGTAACCTCCTTCAAAAGATTCCATGCATGTACTGTTACACTCACTGCTCCCAACCCTGCAGCAGGCCACCACTGACCCACGCCTCCACTGGAGACTCCTGAACACTCCTGGGCAAGTCTGGGTCAGTGTCTTATGGGGTCACTGCTCCTTTCCTGGGTCCTGGTGCACACAAGGTTCTGTTTGTGCCCTCCAAGAGTCTATTTCCCAGTCCTGTGTAAGTTCTGGCAGCTCT